TGTTTGAGAGAGAGAGAGGGAGGGAGAGAGAGGGGGGGGGGGAGGGGGGGTCAGGATGAGGGCAGAGACACGACGGTAGGATGGGCGCAGAGGGCGTCTGCGGGGAGCGTGTTTCCGCCAGCTTGGTTTCTTTCTCTTAGCTTTAAACGCAAAGAGGCATTTGACGTTTAGATGACGGAGACGTTTGACGTTTAGATGACGGAGACGCTGTTTCACAGTTGTGCCTTGACATCGGCCGGTGCGGTGGGGTGTGTGCCGGTAACGTCAGTGGTGGGTGTACCGGGGGGACCATGTGTGTAGCATCTCTGTGAGTAGCGTTGTTAGACAGTTGTGCCCCGAGAAAAACGAATAGCATCTCTTTTCTTTTTCCGTGGGAGTTAGCGCACAAGATCAGGGCGGCAGGAATCCTGCTGTGCCATTCGTTGTCCCCGAGGCGGGTTTTATGCTCAACAGCAATAGTAGTTGCGTGTCCCTGCGTCCCGACCTGCGCTGCTCGGTCTGCATGCGTGTGTTGGTCATGTCGGTCTATTCCTGACGTCGGGTTGTCCACCTTGCGACATGTTGTGACGCACCAACCTCAGCAGTCACACGTCAGGAGGAAGTTTACGTGGGAGTTTGATGACTATATGTTCTTTCACGTTCGTTCGGTGCCGTGCTTGTCGGGGTGTTTACCGCGAGGGAGGTTACAAAGCCGTCTAGAGTGTGTCCCACATACCAGAAACACTGCGAAAGGCCCCAAGGGTGACAGAGTGCTGTAGGGTCGGCAATGTTGTCGTAGCACAGCGAAGGCTTTGTTCCGCGCTTGTAACTTCTTGCACAATACAATAGCTTGCTGTTTATCGCGGGGAAGCGCACGCAAAAGAACACGGTTCTAGTTCCCCGTCCCGCCCCCAGCGAAGTACCGACTCTTCCCGAACACTATTCTGTCTCGTCTTCTTCCCCGCCGCCGTAAGTCGTTCCACCCCACGACCCGGACTCATCCCTTCCGCTCGTCCCGGCTTCGCCGCGCGAAAACTGCTGTTGTTTTAGGTGGATGCGGACGACGATCAACTACCAGCTGCGGCACGGGGGTGGGACGATGGATGCCTTCCGGTAATTCGTTTTTTCTGTCTTCTCTTTTAGTGCCTACACTGCATTCTTCCTTCCGCCGCGGACTGCCTATGCGAAAGAAACAAAAAAAAAAATACGAAGAAAGAGCAGGCAGGGGTACGCAAACCCTAGCCCTGACCCTTACACCCCTAACCCCATCTTAACCGATTCTATGCTTCATCCAATACGTTTGCTTGCTTCAAAAAACTGCGTAGACTGCTGTCCGCCCGCCCCCCCCCCCCCCCCCCCTCCTTGCGAAAAGTATGAAAAACGTAACAGCAGTTGTCCATGGACTGCTCGTCATTTGCGGAAGGGGGCGATTTTTCGTGTCCAAGCGAGACAGAGGTGTGTCCTGTTGTGAGGCACGTGGCGTGTCGACGACGGAGACTGCCATCAACTCACCCATCACCCTAAACCCTCGCTCACACTCTCGCATGCCCTACGATATCCCGCGATCGATTCGGCCTTGTCATCGTCTCCCTCCTCCCTTCAGCACTCTGTACAGCCAGGGGGGCATCGGCAGATTCTACCGGGGGGTAGGGCCGGCGCTGATCCAGGGGCCGATGTCGCGCTTCGGAGACACCGCGGCCAACACGGGGGTCTTGGCCCTGATGGAGTCGTACGAGTCAACAAAGAACCTGCCGGTGGGCGCGAAGACGCTCTGCGCCTCGGTGGCAGCGGCGCTGTGGCGAATCTTCCTGATGCCGTGAGTTGTTGGGGTTGGGGGTGTGCTCGTAGTCGTGCTTACCGTAGTCATCAGACCATTGACCAATGACCTCGCATCTCTACAAAGCCGGGATGGAGCACGCCGGGTTTTCACCCGGACCAGGCTAGCACACCACCAAGCGTGAAGTGCCGTGAGAGGCATTCGGCGAGTCGCATGGAGAGTGCTCGGGAGGGGGGGGGTGGGGTGTTGTCGGTGCCTTTGCTGGTGGCGCTGCTGCTGCTGCTGCTGTCGTCGTCGTGGTGATGGGGTGGTGTACTTTTTCTCTCCGGTCGAGTTTTATTTTTTTTGTTGCGCGATTTTCCCTCCTGTTTGTGTTGAAGGTACCACATATCGCAACGAGTCATTTTTTTTGCTCTCCACGGCGCACCCTTGTTGCAACAATAACTGTTACTTCTACTACTTAGGGTGGACACCACGAAGACGATAATGCAGGTGGAGGGCAAGGAAGGGTTCCCGGCTCTCGTGAAGAAGGTCAAGGTGGGCGGTCCGACGGTTCTGTACCACGGAGCCTTGGCGGCATCCTCGGCGACATTGGTGGGGCACTACCCCTGGTGAGAGGGCGGAAACAACAGCAGCAGTACTGTAGCCCTCGCGAGGATGTTTTGTAGTGTAGGGGTTGCGGGTGTGGGTTGGGGGGTAGGGCTAGGGCGACGAAACGCTCGTCTCTATTTCACAAGAGGGCACGTGGATCCCAATACGTGAAGCACACTCACACAGTTTTCTTCTGTTGCTACCTTTTCTGTCTTTGATCCGGAGCATAGAGTAATCTCCCCTACCCCGCCCCCTCACGGGGTCCCAGTTAATGGCATTTAGAAGTGTTTTGTGTTTTCACCCACACTGAGACTGACGTCTTTTCATTGGTCAGCCGGCTAGCGCGGTCGATGCTATTATTAAAAAAAGCACACACACACACACACCGATATAGGCTTTCGTGTGACCCACATTATAGAACCCATACACTTCTTCGAGAGGTGTATCGGCGTCGTGAAAACACCAGGGCGAGGGTTGGCAGAGGAAAGCTCGCTCCAGTAGCTCGGTACACAGCGAGACATACGCCTACTCCCCACTGCTGTTCACCACAACCAGGCTTGGGGTGTTGGGTGTATTGGATTTGGACCCTTGTAGTAATGATACCATCTGGTCGGGTATATCTTTTAGGAATATCCCGACCACCTGCCCAGTTTCCTGGTAGTCTGACATTTGGCAGGTAGCAATACAATGGTTGCTAGCAGCAGCAAGCGATGCGCAAGCGTTCCCCCTTGCTCAGTGTTGCCTGGGATTGAGCGATAGCGAGCGACTGAGAGAGAAAGCAAGGAATCGGAATGATAAAGCGAAGCGGCTCCAACCTGCACACAGTCGTCGGACTACCTACCGTAGCTCCACACCTGCATTCTCGTCACACTTGCCGTCGTCGGCAAGAGCGTGTCGTTTTGATGGTGGCCTTGGGTGGTGAGAGCTTGAGCTTGTGCTTGCGCAGCCGTCGCCAGAAGGCGCGCAAGGTGTGGACGTGATCCGCCGGTGTCTTTGTC